TTCCGGGCATTTGACGCGACCTTCGGGGGCAAAGACATGGGCTCTATGGCTCAGACTGGACTCCTCTTGGTCCCTTCTGATGCCCTAGGCCACACCTGGGCCTTACCTGGGGTTCTAGGGGCCGGCCAGGGTTTGCCTCCCTAAAGGGGCCCGCCGCTCAAGAATTCTGCAAAGGGGTGTGAACGGAGAGAGCAAACTCCTGGCAGCTCCCACAGCCGAAATGTGCGCCAGCTGCCCGCTCACCTGTGTCACGCCGCCGCGCACGCACCTTGCTATGTGCTCGCGCGAGCTCCCGCCCGAACCTCCAGCTCGGCGTCCCACTGCTTGGGAGCCGATCGCTTTTCCTCGGCGCTCGCGTCGAGCCGAGCTCTCGGCACTCTACGGCGGGCGTCGCTGTGCGGGGCGCCCGTTTCCTGCTGGCCCGAGCGGAAAGCTCCACGCGCCCGCGCGAGCTCCCGGCCGAGCCTCCAGCTCGGCGTCGCACTGCTGAGGAGCAATTTGTCGTCCGTCGGTGCTCTCGAGGAGCCGAGCTCCTTGGCCTGCGGCCGGCGACGCTGCAGGACGGCGCGCGCGCACCCCCACGTCACTCACCCGGGGGCTCTTCCGCGGTCGGCGCACACGCACCCCTCGCCCCGGCGCTCTTCCGCGGCGCAGCCCCCCCCCCCCCCCCCCCCTCCCTCGATCTCGCGGCGAGAGCACGAGCGCGCCGTCCTCCGGCGACGCGCCGCCACGCTCTTCCTTAGGTCGTCCTCCGAGATATCGGTGCCGGACCGGCGGGGCGGGGGCGGGGCGGCGTCGGAGCAAGTGTCTCGGCCGTCGGTCGACGGAGCGGCGACCCGCGAGCACGCTTCGTCGGCGCCCGACGAGGGTGGTGCCGCTGTCGCTCTGCCGCGTGCACAGGCGTGCGCAGGCGTGCCGAGGTCTCGCGACGGCACTCAGCCCGAGCCCCTCCGGGCGCTCGATCGTATGCTCGTGGAGGCGTCGCGCGGCCGCGGTCTTCGCAGCGGCGGCCGCCGCTGCGGTGGATGCGGGCCGGAGAGAAGGCCGCGCGCGCGGCCAGGGGCCAGGGGCTGGCTCTGGCTCGGGCGAGGGCGATCCCGGTTGTCCCTCCGCGGGCGCCTCTGGTCATGACCGCTTGCTCGACGGCTGGGTTGTGCGTGCGCGCGACTCTCGAGTCGTCGGCGAGTAGTGTGCGCGGGCGGTGGGTGCCGTGGAGATTAGGGGAGATCGCTTTGAGCTGCGGGAGATGTTTGGGAGAACGACCAACGAGAGATACAGACACGGCGGTACGGTGTCTGGAGTAACATCTCAGAGATTGAGCAGCGCAGGGGGTGTGCACCTGCCCCCCCATCTCCGGTCCAACGAGTAGAAACATGTTTCCAAAAAGCAGCTACGCCCGACACGACGACGAGACTCTCACTCTCCTCGCGCACTTCGCAGCAACCACAAGGTCCAAGGATCGGGCGCGGGAGTCAGAGGAATTAGCTCAGCGAGAGACACGCACTCACACTCACACACACACACACACACACACACACACACACTCACACACACACAGAGAGAGAGAGAGAGAGCGAGCGAGCGAGCGAGAGAGCGAGCGAGCGAGAGAGAGAGCGAGAGTACAGTACAGTGATCAACAGAGACCCCCACCCACACGCCGCGCAGTGTGGGAAGCGACGACGGAGACTCACTACTCGCACTCGCAGCACGGATTCAACGGGAGGAACGAGGGGACGCCCGGGCAGCCCCCGGGGCACGCGCAGCCGTTACGGTGCGCGTCCTGCCCGCCGCCCGGCATCGGCGCATCCTCCGCCGCCGCCGGGGCCGGCGGCTCGCCCGGGATTGGCGCGTCCGTCATCGGCGCGCCCGGCATCGGCGCGCCCGGTGGCGCGCCCGGCATCGGCGCATCGTCCGCCGCGGACCGCGGCGGCCCATGCGCCCCACAATAGGGCACGGCCACGCCGGGCGTCGCCCGCAGGAACGCGGCAAAGGAGTCGTGGTCGAACGTGCCCTCCATGATGGCGAGCCGCGTCGCCGCGTGGGGCGGGCGGTTGATGGCGTCGACGACGACGACGCCCCACGCGTGCTTGACGGCGTCAGCCTGCTCGAGCCCGCGCAGCCACTCCGCCGCGTCCTTCGCGGTGCACTCGTTGTACGACGACGTGCGGGCGGCGAGCATGCGCCGCATCGCCAAGTAGTCGCAATCGCTGCAGCCGGCGCGCTGCACCACGGGCGGCAGCGTGTAGCGCGTCACGGCCGGGAGGTGCTGCGCCGGGAAGCAGAGGGCGTCGCTGCACGCCGGGCAAAGGGCCAGGTGGCGGAGCGCAATATGGCGCAGCGCAGAGATGCCAGCACCGCGAGGAAGTGCAGGACCCGCGTTTGCGGTGCGAGCCGTCGAGGCAGGATCAAGCTGAAGGACTCGAGTGGTTTCCACACTGACATCCTCGCCCAGAGCATTGCCAGACAGGTTTGCGCCCAGTTTGCAGTCGCTTGGCGTGGTTTGTGCCGGCGCACCAGCCGCAGAGGCAGCGCTGCCGACTCTCATTGGTTGAGCAGCCGTCGCAGTGCTCGACGGATCGGCAGTGTCGGCGCCACCAGCACCGCGCTCGGTCTCGCTCAGCGAGGCGGCCGAGAGCACAGGCAAGCCGCAAACGCGCATTTGGGACGCACGTAAAAGTTTCTTTTGACCATTGCGCGAAAAAGGTACATCTCGGTGCCTTCCAGAGGCA